GGAGTGGACCGGAGCCTGGAGTGATGAGTAGGTAACCCCCGACAGGTCGTAGACATACGTTAACCTCCGGAACAAACACACCACAGTGTACCCAAGATTATTATTATTATTATTATTATTATTGTTATTATTGTTATTAGTAGTAGTCCTTTAATGGTACTGAGGATAGGAGGACTACATGAGAGCTTTCTTCTGCTGCTGCTGATGTTGTAACTCCCTGACTGACAGACTAAGTTACCTGTCACCGCCTGCGGGGTGGAGTCTGTGAGCACGATGATCCTCCAGAGCTCTGACTGACAGACTCTGTACACACTGTGTCACAGCATCGTTAACTCTAATTGATCAATGCTCATCATTGATTGATTGATCGCTCATTGGTAAATCACACTTCATTAAAGATCCGTCCAGACTTTAAAAGGTGTTTCCTGCTCCAACAGTTCCACACAATGGCGTTACATCAGCGACGAGGACCGCGAGCGTCTGAGTCACCGCTCAGAGGACGGAGAGTTCTGGTAAGACCTCCTTTTTATCCCCAAACTCCCCTGTCCTCTGTGGGCACTGACACCCTCCGCTCTGTCTCCTAGGATGTCTTTCTCTGACTTCCTGCGACATTACTCCCGGCTAGAGATCTGTAACCTGACACCCGACGCCCTGAGTGATGACTCTGTCTCCAAGTGGGCTCTGTCCAAGTTCGATGGCAGCTGGCGGAGAGGGTCCACCGCCGGAGGCTGCAGGAACTTCCCCAGTAAGTGATCCTGTCAGACGAAGAGCAGGTCCGACTGCCTGCGACTCTTCCTCGACTCTAATCTTCTGCTTTGAATCCACAGACTCGTTCTGGACCAACCCTCAGTTTGTGATCAAGCTGGAGGAGGAGGACGACGACCCAGATGATGGAGAGGCCGGCTGCAGCTTTGTGGTCGGTCTGATCCAGAAGAACCGCAGGAAGCTCCGAAAACAAGGAGAGGACATGCACACAGTTGGATTTGCCATTTACGAGGTGAGAACTTAAGAAGTTTGCCTGATCTCAGGATACTTGGCACAGAAATACAGATTCAGCCACTTTCCAAACTAACCTTTTTCTTGTCTTCTGTTTTGTTATAGGTTCCTAAACAGGTGAGCTCTGGAGCCCTGACAACACCATCAAGTTAAAGGTCATTCTTCAAACCACTGTGTCCATCCAGGACACTTTATGATACGATTCATTTAAGAAGCATTGCTTTCAAAGTTGGATTGAAAAAAACATATTGGTGATTTTGCATGTTCAAGATAGACAGGAAAGGAGGTAGAGAGAAGGAGAGATGAGAGAGAGAAAAGAGGAGAGAGAGGAGAGAGAGGATTGACACACAGCAAAGGGCCACAGGTCGACTTTGAACCCTGGGCTGTTGGTACAATACAGGTTATCACTTTCTCACAAACAGTAATATCATTTACCAATAGTTTACACATTTAGTTTTATCCCTCCTTTTTTAATAACGGAGGTCTCAGTGTTTATGGGACACGGTTAGCTTGCTTTCCGTCACCAGTGATTTGACTACAGTTTACTACAGTTGTCCTCAAACCTAGATTTACAAATACAAAAATTTCAAAATTTCAACATAAGTTATTTGTAATTTCTGATTTGTAATCAATTCCGAGGTGTTTCCATGCGTGGAAAACTGTTCTCTGAATATCCATGGTTTCCAGGATCCTGATTTTACAGTCCTCATCCGAGACTTGAGAGTTGGTTGACAAGTCATTATTTTCTTGAGCTCCAGTGTCAGAAAATCAAATGCAGGAGACAAACCAGAAGCAAACATGTGGGAAAGAAAAAATGAGTTAAAGGAATAGTTCATCATTGCGACCCCTGCCCAGAGGGGACAGAATTATAGGTTGTTATGTGCCAGACTATTTATTTGCCAGGACCAGTAACCCCTGAGGTCTTTGCTGGTTGCCTGGCAACATGTTAATCAGAGAGCTTTAGAGGTGGATTTTGTTAGCTTTGGACAGAGCCAGGCTAGCTGCCCTGTTTCCAGTTGATATGCTAAGCTAAACTAACCAAATGCTGGCTATAGCTATGTAAACTTGTCCTTTAAGGTAGTTGCTGTTCATCAATGGACTCTCAAAGCTCTAAAGCCAGAGAGTCCTTAAAAGCACCATCAGACACCTGGTTTTTAAATGTAAACATAATAACTGGTTGGTAATGTAATTTAAGCACAAAAATATAAGCAAAATATTTTGTGTCTCTGCAAGCAGATTTTCCTAGAACTGAACAGAAGCCAGTGGCTGTTTGGATGAAAGGAAATTAATTTAAAAACAAATGAATGATTTGGGAAATGATCAGCAGGGACAGAAACGGTCCAAGATTTCTAGTTAACAACCTGAAACATGTAAAAACAATTAGTACAGTCTTTGACTGGCTGGATCTGCATTTTACATTTCTGTAACTCATCATATTAGTGCAGGACAATAGACAGAGAGCACTGGCTATACCACCTGACCTGTGGTTAATAATACGAGCTGTCCTGATTGGCTGTTTCAGTTCCAAGGGCAGACGCAGGTGCACCTGGATAAGAACTTTTTCCTGACCCACGCTCAGACAGCGAAGTCCGAAACCTTCATCAACCTGCGCGAGGTCTGCTCTCGCTTCAAACTGCCGCCTGGAGAGTACCTGATCGTCCCATCGACCTTCGAACCGCACCTCAACGGAGACTTCTGCATCCGAGTGTTCTCCGAGAAGCAGACAGAGACCAAGTAAGACGTAAACTGGTGCTGCTGGTCTGTCTGTGAAGGAGGTAATGGGAGACTGCAACTGCGTCTTCTTTAGTCAGTGCTGAAGGTCTTTGGGAGGTCTGGACTGGATCAGTTCTTTGGATTTCTATCCAGACTAGTTTTTTAGTCAAATAAAGTTTTTGGTGTTGGTGCCTTTTTGGGTTCACAGTCTGTACAAAAACCTGTCTGTATGTTTCTGAATGGAGGTCTTTAAAGCTGGAGTCTGCCATTCAGTGGGGAAGTGATGGAAACAAAGAGGGTGTCTGGTTTGTGGGTGGGCTGCCCCAACAAATTCTGCTCATAGGAAACATGAGTGTGTGTATGTGTGAGTGAGCTAGCCTTAATCTGAAAATAAATGCTTCCAGTGTTTCTAACATTTTTATTTCTCGCTGTCCTGTCAGACCCTGTGACGACCCGGTCAATGCTGAACTAGAGGATGTAAGTAAAACAAGTGGAGGGTAATGGAGAAAAAACTGGGAATAAATAAATGTTCTTGTTGTGCTGTTGAAATGGAGTCCGCTAACGTCTACAAAAGGCCGACATCCATCACAACAAAGTCAAAGCTAACATTACTGCAAACTAATAGTAGATAGTCATATTGTGCTTTTAGCTTGCTAATGTTAGCTTGCTTGTAAATGTGGACAAATTGCTGTCTAGTAGTAAAATTGTTAGCTATACCTTAGCTTTGGTAGCTGGGGAAGATAATGTTAGCCAGCTAACATATCCACTCAGACAGAATTTTATGAGTGATAACATTAGCAAACAAGCAAATCTACCTAGCTTGCTAACTGAGCTTACTTTTTTTCTAATGTTATTGCTAGCAAAACAAAGTAACTAGCAACAAGGTAACTAGCAACAATGTAACCAGCAACAATGTAACCAGCAACAAAGTAACCAGCAACAAGGTAACTAGAAACAAGGTAACCAGCAAACGGCCAGCCAGCCATATCAGCCCTCGGAGTCTGGATGAATTAGGGGCACGGTTAACGTTATTCAGCGAGGCTAAGTTGCAGCTTGCTCGCTAACGTTATCACTAGCAAAATACTATCAGAGTGGATATGCTAGTTGGCTAACGTTAGATTCCCCAGCTAACGTAATCCATGATACTGGCTGTGTCTCATTCCGCCTACCAGTACACTTCTTTTTTGTTTGCACTGGAACCTAACGCCGTGTGGCCCACTTTCAAATGTTAGTATTGTCCCAAGAGGAACCACTTATGGTTAAAACCTTACCGGGGAAACATGGGACGAGCGGGGATGAGCGTGGACGAACGCGTGAACGCGATTTTCCAGCCTGCCAAAAATATATGCCGGCTTTTGTTTAAAAACTTTTTTCTGCACGTTCATTTACCCCTCAGTTCACAAAAACTTACCAACAATAAATTATGCTAACGGTACAAAGCTAACGATTTGCATTCTACTAGCCAAGAGCGATGCGAGGCAGGGGCATCCGCCGTGGTGTAGGAACAGTACAGATATAGTGATACATTCTTAATATGATTCATTTATTTAACAGCGTTGAGTCTTGTGAACATCATGTCACTGTTTCGGCCGATGTCTATGATGGTAGCGCTACACCGCTAGCTGCTGCAGAACTGTCTCTTTCTGACACCCATTAGGCTCCGCCCACAAAATACATCATCGCTGTTTACTAACACAAAATAATGTCAATGAAGTTTGTTGAATAATGTTGATTCTGTTCAGGAGTTGGTGTCCGATGAGGACGTGGACGCAGGATTCAGAGGCCTTTTCTCCAAACTGGCCGGAGATGTAAGTGTTGAAACTGAGAAACAGATGAAGACAAGTTGTAAACATGATCATCTCTTACATCATCACACATAAAGTGCCGGAGGTGGCCAGGTGTACGCTGACCTGCAGGTGTTCAGGTGTTTCCTGTTGTGTTTTAGGATATGGAAATCTCCGCAGTGGAGCTCAGGACCATCATGAACAAGATCGTCGCCAAACGTAAGTTAAACTTTTCAACACGCTTCACCTCTTCACTTGTTCACCTGTTCACCTCTTCACTTGTTCACCTGTTCACTTGTTCACCTCTTCACCTCTTCATTTGTTCACCTGTTCACCTCTTTACTTGTTCACCTCTTCACCTCTTCATTTGTTCACCTGTTCACCTCTTTACTTGTTTACCTCTTCACCTCTTCACTTGTTCACCTGTTCACCTGTTCACCTGTTCACCTGTTCACCTCTTCACTTGTTCACCTGTTCACCTCTTCACTTTTTCACCTGTTCACCTCTTCACTTGTTCACTTGTTCACCTGTTTACCTGTTCACCTGTTCACCTCTTCACCTGTTCACCTGTTCAGCTTTACCTTTGTGTCTGTTGCCTGTCCTTCACAGGAACTGACATCCGAACTGACGGCTTCAGCCTGGAGACCTGCAGGGTCATGGTCAACCTGATGGATGTATCCTTTCCTAGCTAACATGCAGTTTATGCTAACGATAGCTAGTGAGCTAACAATGAAATGGCGTCACAGAAAACCACTGCAGGGGTCTGGGGACCAACAGGAGTGAGTTTTAGAGGGTCCTCAGCAAAAGCATAGAATATTTGAACTTCTATCACATTTTTTGGAAGTTGGAACAAGGGAAGAAATAAGGAAACCTAAAACAATAAAGGTCAGGAGGGTCACACTAACCCATGCTGTTAAACTTAAGCGACAGGATTTACCTTGATTTAACCCAACGGATAATCAACCTGTATTTATGGATCATGCTGCTCGCCGTATTTATGAGCTTTCAGAGAACTTTTCCCTCCTTTGCTCTCATTTTGTATTCAGACACAAATAAAACTTTATTTACAGTCAGTAAATTCAGACGCTTACAGTTTCAGACTCGGTGGAGACTCATGTACACAGGATGCACTCTGGAATAAACAAGATCTTAACTCTTAAGCAGGACAGCGGCAACGGAAAACTTGGCCTCGGAGAGTTTGCCACTCTCTGGAAGAAGGTGCAGAGATATCTGGTAAGACCTTTGTGACCTTTGACCTTTAAATCCAAACATCCAAATTCACCGACCAGTTCACAACAACGTCTCTGTCTCTGCAGTCCATCTATAAGAAAAACGACTTGGATAACTCAGGGACGATGAGCACTCCGGAGATGAGAGTCGCCTTTAAAGACGCAGGTCAGTTTCTTTTTCTACTGTTTCTGCAGGAAGTACTCACTGTCTGTGAATACGAACGTTTGTTGATAATTTATTATGTTTCAGGTGTTACACTTTACCCACTTTGACCTCCACTGTTTGTTGTTTGCTGTGTCCTCTTTAACAACCAGTGAACTACTGAGTAACTGTTACTGTGAGCACTGCCTCTAACGAAGCCTCAGGCTGACGTGATCTGATTGGTGGATTTAAACGTCAGTGGGTGGAGCCATTTTACATACATTGTGTGTGATGGACAATTAAAAGATTTTAACATTAGCTAACTTAAGATGTGTCACTTTTATCTTTTAACCATCTTCAAAATGTGGTTGTCTTTTCTATGTAGGGATGAGGGTCGGATTTTCAGTGATGTTGGCTAACGTTAGCTTCCCCAGCTAAAGTGATTCATGATACAAACTTATGTATTCTGACAGACAGTGCTGATGTTAGCCAACAATAAATGATGTAGCTGTACAAAGCTA